ATGAGCACCTAGAAGGCCCGCTTAGGTAAAAATCGTGACGCACGAATGCCGCCTAGCTTGTTATTTAAAATATTGATTCTAAGTAACAACTTTAAACTCATCGAATAATTACACGAAAACTAATATAAATTATAAATGCACAGTAAATTAAGTAAAAATAAGAGATTATATCTGCGATTATCTAAATACACTTAACTGATAGCACACCTTGCAATAAACAACATACATATGCTAAAGATCACATATAAACTCTTGCGGCATGTATGTTTATATAGCAAACACAATATTTTAAATAATGTACCGTATCGACTGATATTATCGACAATATCGCGTACCGATGGTCCGGTCGGTACGATAACCCTCTAGATACCATTTTGGCCAAAGTACCGATTTAACCGGTTTCATACCAAAAAAATACCAGCCAAAATACATGATATACAAGATTTAAAGAAAAATATATATATATATATATATATATATATATTAATTTATTTACATAGTTCTAGACTTAGTTTTGATATGTTTACATTCTTATTAATCAATTTTATTATTTATTAAGGTTGGTTTTATACATTATCTATATTATGATAATAAATTAAAATTAATATTTTTCAAAATCGGTAAAATAGACGATAAAATTGGTTGAAATGCATACCACTGACCCGTTCGGCATGATTGCTGGTACGGTATTTTAAACACTGGGCAAACGAAACTAATTTACATATAACCAACTAAAACAAAAATTTAAGAATTCGGGTTACACGTTTACTCGACAAAAACCCGATAACCTGTCAGGTAAAACTCGACCCGAACTCAAAGATCACTAGCGGGGAACGAGTCGGGTTCAGGTAGGGTAAATTATATGAGGATCGGGTTCGAGTTTGCCAAAACCCGCTCCCAACCCGACCCATTTATATCCTTACTCATAGTTCTCAACATTCATATCCGCAGTACAACATCGTGAGTGTAATAATTTAATTGTTTTGGATTTATTTCAAATCGTGTTATTTGTAGATTTAGTTATTTTTCAGTTAATGGTCATATCAGTTATTACATGGGATTAAGATAAATTGTAACTATATTTGTTATTTGGCTGGTATTGGAAAGATACGAAAAAAGAAGAAAAAAATCGAAGTCGGGGCACGTAATAATATCGTTCTCTTTTAAGGCGAAATTGTCCCATAAAATACTCATTATTAACGACAACAACCTCCAAAATACGACTTTTGACTTGTATATAGCCGTACTTCAAATATACAAGCATTCGAAAAATAAAATAATGTTTGACTCATAAAAAAATTAAAAAGCACAATATGCTACATAAACTTTGAAAATATAATGTAAGAGCTCTTTTAATTGTAAGTATACTGAATGATTCATGTATGCGAGTATTTATAGATGTAAGAAAATTCTCCAGAGGTTTAAATGTCAAAAAGTATCTATTGGGACGTGCTCGGACGACAACGAACTCATCCTAAAGCCAAAAGACAGCTTATGGACACCAGGGGCGTCGCCCAACAACTAAAAAATGGTCACGGTTGCGAGTAGGCTTTGTGGACCACCGCGGACCGCGACAAAGCCAGTTGTGCGCTTCCGCGCAGCGAGCCTACCTGATTTTTTTTTACTCGTCCTCAACAAAGTATAATAGAGTTATAGAATGCCTAGTGCATAGTTATAGTTCGTTTGTCTTATCCAAATATTCGCCAAAATCCCAATATTTTGTGAATCCAACAGTCGTTGAATTACTTAAACTCAATTTTTCAAATTTATATTTTCTCGCATATACACTTAGAATTAATTTTTCACTCATCTTAAAATGAATTTTCTAAGTCTTTCTGAATAACGGAACCGAAAAAAATATGTACAAAATCAATTTTGTTACAATATTTATTGACCCTCAATGTTTGAACTAGTTATTTTCTTAT